GACAGACCACCTCAATTATTCGTGGTAGGGTTAAACAGTTATTTAATCTTTTGGTTTAAAAATTTTTTTAAAATATTGGTAGCTGATGCTAAAATTTTGGTTGAAACTGAAACTAACGCTTCTGATCGGTAAATTTTAATTTCAAAAAAATGCATTTCCTTTATAATTTCATTACATGTAGGCAAAAACTTCCAAGAGTTATAAGAAATGTATTTTAACTAATTTAATTTAATTTTTTATTGTTTTTATTACCGATGTTAAATTATTATATATAATTTTAAATAAATAATTTATCTATCATAGAACCAGAGTTTTGAATTTTAATAATTTTAATAAACATCATGCATTTTTTGAAAGATTTTTATACTTTTTATTAAACTGGCTAATTAAATTAACAGAGTCCTCTTCGCAATAAATCCACTTTTGGCAGGGGCAATTTCTGTAACTTTTATAAAGTTTAAACGAACTTCTTTCAAAGGAGGTCTTTCGATAGTTATTTACAATTTTTATTTTAATACTGTATTAGCATTAATTGTATATAGATATAATTTCATAATCATGATGATTACATCAAGATATATTAAAAACTTAAAGTATATGATTATTATCATTATCCGGCAGGTACTATGTAAACACTGATGGAAAAAATTTCACATTATTTTTGCAAATTTTTATTAAAATCATATGATAACTTTTTATTAATTTTAATATAAAAATCTGCAGAAGTAATATAAAATTCTTTCTATAAGTGTATCTATCAAATCATGCTAGATAACAAGAAAGTATTATACCGAAAATTTGTCATAATCTATAAATGTGTTTTTTAAAGATATTGGAGCTTTTTCTGAACCTAAGGATCTTTAAGTTCCATCATTGTGCGTTTAAATTAGAGTTGTTGGTGAAACTAAATTGATCTGGTAAAACTGGTGACTATCTAAAATTTGATTGGTTGTTTACTACAAAAGCCAATCAGATTTTAGATAGTCACTAGTTTCACTAGCTCAATCTAGTTTCACCAACAACTCTAGTTTAATTACAGTATTTTCATGAGATTTTGCTACTTCAAATGAAACAGTCTAAAAATTATCTTCAGAGACAACTTTGATCTGGATTAGATTTTGGATCATTCAGAAAAAAAAAAGCTTCTGCAAAATCCTGCAAGTATTATTATTACCTTAGTTGATTAATGACCTCTTTTAATAAGAAATATAAACTATAGGAGATTATCTTGAATAATAATGGGATTTGTAATATATTCATTATTTAACAAAAATATTAATAAATTAAATTATCTTTTTATTGTCAAATGCAAAAACTATATTTTAGCAAAATCTGCAATGTATTGGTTTTTTAAAAAAATATTCTTTTTTGAATTACTGTATTTGTATTATTGAAAGCGTGACGAAAAAAAATTTACTATTATCCTAACTCCACAAGTAATTCCCTTACCCTTACCCAGGGTTGGCATATTTATTCATTGGAACGACTTTACAGAAACCTTGATTTTTTAAAAATGTAGACAACATATATCTAACATATAATAAAAGTCTTAGTAAGCTCTGTTAACTCTCTTGTAAGAAACTTATTAATATTATAAATATATGGGCTGTGATCTGAGAAAAGGGCTGAAATTAACAAAAAAAAAGATCTTCAGAAAATCAATTTTTATATTGTAAATCTTATAATAAATTATAAGAAAAAGCAAACTTTAAAGAGCTATACTGCAAAATTTTATTAATACAACTGCTTTTGTGTCTTAAGTAAAAAATAATTCTAATCTTATTCTAAATTAATTTATATAAAAAAATATCTTATGAAAAATTTGTCAATTTCAGCCCTTTTCTCAGATCACAGCCTATATTATAAACATATTAGAGATAATTTATTCATCACTCGGGTGAATTATTGGCATGGAGGGGGTAAAAAAATATATTTATTATAGGACTATTATATTATTTTATTCTTTTATTATTATTATTATTAGATTAATAACACATTATTTTATATATAAAATTATATTGTATCTATATAACCAACATATTATTAGTAATAAAGTTACAAGAAAGTTAACAGAAAGAACAAAAATATAATTATTATATGATTAATATATATTCAAAGTATATTTATTATACACTATTTTAGATCATATAATAATAATATTGCTAATATATAATAAATATATTGTAAACATATTTAGCAAAAAACATAGGTTTCTGTAAAGGAATAGAGAATAACCATTGGAGAATAATTTCTGAATGGAAACCAACCAACTCCATTAACATTGATCTGTTTAACCTGTTTTAACAAGTTGAACCATCAGTTTAGAATCCTATTCTTCATCAGCTTTATTAGATTTTTCCATTGAAACTATTGGCACCATTCACTCCATTGGTAATTTTCTCAATTTTGCCCTTACTCTAACATTAAACTAGCCCTCTAACTCTAATTTCAAAAATCACAATTACAGTAATTTACGTTGTTTTGATTTTCATATCTGACCAATAGAAAAATTTATAATTTATTTAACCAATATCGATGCAGCAATATGGTAATTTTACATTGTATAATTTATTTGAAATATGGATTGACATTTTTAAAAATTGAATATTTCAGCTTATACATATCTTGGTGAACTTTGAAGCTATTTATTGATTTAATAGTCAAGAAAGCTTATGAAATAAGCTTTTTCTGAATATTAAGTCATCAAGAGGCTTCAAATTTCATCGAGATATGAGCTGTGAAAATTAAGATATCAATCTTTTTTAAAAAGTCAATCTTATTACTATTGACGGCTGCTCATTTGATCTAATCACAAAAACAGCAGAATTTTTCTTAAAAACAGCTAGCTACAGAAATTGATTAACCTTAATCACTACAGGCCAGTGATAGTAAATAACCTGGTCATTTGCAAATTTTTCAAATAACCTCAAATGACCCCAAAATGACTGGTCATTATCGATCATTTCAATTTTGGGTCATTTGGAAATGACTCATGACCAAGTGACCACAGTCATTTAGAAATGACCGGTGTCATTTGAGGATTATTTAGTTTATAGGTTTTGAAATAGGCTGGGTTAGGCTAGGTATTTGTATACTTAGGCCCAAGCTCAATAAAAATTTATATGCCCGACCCAACCCAAGAATAGTAAATGATCTGATCGTTTGATCAAAATTTAAATGACTCCAAATCATCAAATTATGACAAGATCGTTTGGATTATTAAGTTTATTTAGGTCATTTGCTTATAAAATAATTTTATTGTTCGAATTGCTCATATAAAAAGTTATCAAACTTTATTACATTCTTAATCGATAATTGTAGCTATACACATATTAAAGTCAAAATCTTAGTCAATTATTATTTATAAATTAAAAACTTTAACTTCACATAAATGTAAAGTGCGGAAGTGAATTAATAAAAGTTTTTCAGTTTATATAAAAATTCCAGAATATATGCAATTTATTATTTCAGATAACTTTTTACTTAAGAGTAAAATTTTTGACTTTAATGCTATGATTATTGATTATATTTTAATTTTGTTTGGCGACAAATTCTGATTAGCTAAAGGGCAATAGAATATCAATTAACTTATATTAAATAACCTTCTAAGTTATTTGGATCTCAAAATGACCAATGACTAGTCATTTGTTATTTGGGTCATTTGGGTCATTTCGGGTCATTTACCATCACTGCCACAGGCTACTACAAAATACTACAAAATTCTAAAGAAATCACAAATATTCATCATAAAATATCAGCAAATTTTGGAAAATGAGATAATTAGATACCAGTAGCTAATTAAATAAACACATTAATATAAATCACAGAATTTCTATCTGTAGTGTAAAATACATAATGCTAAAATCTTTCATTTAATTCTTTAAAGTAGATAAGTATATTATATTTAAAAATGATGCATAAAAAGTTTTGCTTAGCTTCATGTAAAAATTAACCATTCAGTATATTTGTTATAAATTTTATTAATGACACGTAATGAAATCTAAATTGGGATTCTACAAAGTTTTCTAAGATTATCGAAATAATATTATTTGCAAAGTATTATTAGTATTAATCTTAGAAAAAATTCTAATTCAATTTTGCGTTATTTTGTAATTATTGTATGAAGCAAAAAAGGACTTTAAAATAATCATCCAGACCAAGATATATTATACAGCATTTTATAATGATGCGTAAAATCAAAAGATGGGTGGCTATAAAAAAGTCATTGACCAATGATTTTTCTGAATCTTGCTATTTAATCAAACATCAGTATAATTACAAATATAACACAGATCATATAGTAAAATTATAATAATGAAGTAAATTAAATTATCTTTTTATTGTTTAAATTACCAAAATTATATTCTGAATTATTTTTTTAAAGTAAACATTGGATTAAATTTTCGTTCAAAATTTAGGTCCCTATAAAAAATCTGTGGCCAAAATTTTTTTTTTAAGTTTAAAGAATATTTTTAACAACCAGTTATCATTTTAATTCTGTAGCTCTGAATTAAAATAAAAATAAATTCATCAAATCTGGATATCTGTTTGTCGAAATACCTTCATTAAAGATTAAATAAAACTTTAAACAAAGATTTCTCGATAGCCAATATCAGAATTTGATGAATTTTTATTTAATTCTTTGAACCCACAGAATTAAATAAAAAAATTCAATAAATTCAGATAGCTTATTGTCTAGAAACCTTTGTTTAAAGTTCAAAGAAAGCTGATTTTAGTTTTTTTTTTGATATTTTAAGTTTTTTTCAAAAAAAAAATTTAATAATGATTTCTTGATGACACTAAACGAAATTTAGTGTTTTAATTCTACAAAACTTTAAAAAATTTTTGCTGAATTTGATCAAGAAAGTATTTTAAAAAAGGCGCATAATTATCTGATAATCATCAATCGTTGGGGAATTTCGTAAGATGCCAGCTTTAAATGACCCTATTTATCAGTTATCATTGTAGATCTTCACTTACATAATACTGTAATTAGCATCATGTCCAACAATTTAAATCTACAAACTATACCTACAGAATCTCTTGATCTTGCTCTCATTCTACATAGTAGAATTGAGTTGAAAACATGGACTGGAGATGTAAAAGCTGAAATTAAAAGTTTTTATGATGCAATTGAACATGCTTTACAAGATACTTCACTAGATATTCAAAAACAAGAAAAACTAGAACATTTAAAGGAAATGCCTGAAGATGCGGTAAATATTATTTTTAATCAGATTATACTATTATAGTATTATGGAGTTTTACATTATTTATGTAGCAAGCACAGCTTAGTAAGAATTCTATTATGAATTTTTGCAATGAGCACGACTCAGTAAAGATGTTTTTAAACTGGTTTAAAATATTATCGAAGTAGAGTCGACCTTGTTATATTAATCATTCTTTGGAATTCTGAATTGGGGCTGGTCTTGTTATTTAATAAGTTAAAAGACATGCTGATATTTCTAACTTAACTTTATCATTAATTAGATTTATTTTATATAAATTTTATCTAATATTTTAATTTATAATTTAGGTAAAAGCTACTGTATTAGTGATAAGTTCCTTATATGAAAATAATAAACTTGCTATTCCGTCTCCTTCTCTTCTATACCTGGTTCCTCTATACACCTTTTCTTTCTCTTATATGGATGATTTTCTGTTGACTGGTTTTCTGTTGGCCGATCATCTGTTGGTGTATTTTCTGTATCTGAGTTCACTGCTTGTGACCTCTTTTTTGGAGTATCAGTTGTCTTTCGGGATCTTTTTCCTCTTTTGTTTACTTTGCTTATACCTTTATCTTTCTCCCAAGCTGCAAATTTCTCGCATCTTT